CCTCACCCCTCAGTGTCTCTTTCCCGGCTTTACAAGAAAAGGCCATCTCTGTTTCCAATGCAAGCTCCCCCAAAAGGCTGGGTAGCAGCACCCCGTTTGCAGGGATGGGGCTGACGGCTGCGGTTCGGAGCCCACAGCATCCCCGAGGCTTCACCAGGAGCGATCCCAGTCATTTATTTGCCTGCTTAATCTCAGAATTATTTAGGTACTGGTTCAATGCAATAAACAGCAACGACAGAATGTCACCAGCAGGGTCCTGCCCCAAAGCAGCATCCGGGGGATGCCCAGGAGCTTGTTTTTTTTCTCTGAAAATAACTTTTCATTGGTGGTTGGGGGAGGTTCATTACAGCCCACGGCATTAATGGGGCACCCGAGGCTGTGCAGCTCCAATGGGGCAGAGCTGAGAAACATCCCCCAAAGGGACAAGAAGGGGGAGACAGAGACAGAGGGGCTGGAGCAGCCCCCCAGAAAACCAGCAGACCCCAACTGGAAGGGCTCCAACCCCTGAGCAGCCGAATCGGCCGCAGCTGGGGGTGATGGCTCCCACCCCACAGCTGATGCTGCTCAGCCCATCAGGTCCCATTGAGCTGCAGCTGCTTTGCGGCCCTTCCTCCTCTTCCTCTTTCCTCCTCCGTCCTCCTCCATCCTCCTCTCCTGGCAGTGATGGAGACTGCAGCTCTGCCAGCCCCGTAAGTCATTCTTTAAGATTTAAAGTCTCACAGCCATGTGTTTGTGGTCCAGCCAGGGACTTGTGTTATTTAGGGCAAGTGCTCTCTCTGTGCCATAAATCTCCTCACCGAGGTGCTGGGATGATGAAGTGTTGGGGCTTTGTGTGCTGGGGCTGTCGTGATGTGTGCCCAGCGAGGGTGTGGGGCTTTGCACCCTGCGTTTGGAGATGGGGTACGGATGTGCTGTCCACTGCTATAAAACCTTGTGACCCTCTGGCAAGATGTGCAGGGGGCTGCTTTTGGGTGCTCTATTTTAAAAAAATAGGAAATAAGTGCAATGCTCAGTGGCTTTCTGCATTAATGAGCCCATAGTGAGCCAAGTGCGCTCATCTTGGTGCTTCCCGGCATCTGAGGGAGCTGGGATGGGGCTGGAGCTGGGCTGGGTTGGGGGCAGTTGCTTGATTTAGTTCTTTTTCTCTTTATTTTTGGGCTTTTGTGGGTTTGGGGTATCCTGTCCTCACTGACACCTCAGGCTCTGCACATTTCTCCTGCAGAAATGGGCTGACCCCTCCCTGGGGCTGGTGCTGGGAGGGATGGGGTGAGCCCAGCTCCCAGTCCGGGGTCTCCCCCCTCAAATCAGCACTGTGTGTGTGTGTGTGTGTGTGTGTGTGTCCTGTCCCCACTGCTGGGCGCTGGAGCCCAAATCTCTGGGGCTCTGGATTGGAGCCCACTGGGGAGCGCTGCCCATGGCGGGGGCAGGAAAGGATGTGCAGATCGGGGGGTACCTGTGGTGTGCAAGGGGTTAACTGGGAGTTGGGACACTTAAGGACTGGGAATTTGGGCTTTGGGAATAAATTCCTACCAGTGAAGCACCTGGGCTGTACTGGTGCACACTGGGGTGTAATCCCACCCGTTGGTTTGGTTTTCCAGCTTCCCGGGGGCTGGCGTGGTCCTGGGATGCTCTGCAGAGCAATGGGGGTGCTCTGCTCCCCCAAACCAACTGGGGGTAGCTCCAGGGGGAGCATCGAGCCCTCGGAGCCGGGGGGAGGGAAGAGCTGTGGGGGGCTCATGCTCATGATCTTGTGGGTGACCCATGGGGGTGCTTACCCTGGGGGGGCAGAGGTGAACCCGGTGCCACAGGATGGGAGGTCACCCCCTGCCTCCAGCTTTGGTTTACCCCCCGTGCCTCAGTTTCCCCAGTCATGGAGCCCAGGGCTCAGCCCAGTGTGCCTGATCCAGCCTGTTGGAGTTCCTCCCTTTCAGCCCTACTGACTCTGGACACTGAACCCCTCCGGGCTCTGGAAGGGCTGGAGTCGACCTCACAGCGATTCCCCTCAGGGGCCTTAGAGCAACCTCGGCCCCAGGCTCCTGCGTGGACCCACAGGGGCACACAGGGCTGCCTGAGCCCCAAAACCTGAGAAGATTGACCCAAAAAAAACAACCTGGATGGGAATGCACTGGAGTCTGACTGGGAACGTTCCCCTCCTGGCTCAGCGGCTGCTCCTTGGGGTCTGGGTCCGGGATGGGGACATGGGGAAGGATCAGGGATGGGCGATGAAGGGAAATGGCTTTGGTGGATGCGTCCCAAAGGATGGGACCTCCAAGATGGAGCCATTGCCTTTGGTGTGGGATCTGGGGGCTGGAGCTGGTGTGGGACCCCCCAGGAGCCCGGTTCAGCCTCCCCAGAAGCTGCCGCTGCCTTCTGCGGGTGTTGGGACAAAAGGGTTGCTTGGTTTTATTGTATTTTTATTATTATTTATTTGCATCTCTGGATTGCCATGGTGTTTGTTTGCCTAATGTTTTCCTTTGCTTGTAGCCAGGCAAAAAAACACCACCAGGCTCGGGGCTTGGCAGGCTTTGCTGTTTAGTGGGTGGGGAAACTGAGGCACGGGGCTAAAGGGAAGCAATAGGGCTCAAAACCTCCATGGATGGGGGGCTAACAGCACCCCCTGCTTGGGACACCCGGCCTGGGGGAGGCTTTAAGAGTGGGAAGCTTTAAGAAGAAGCCT